GCCACGCCGATTCCTGCAGCAGCCCCTGTCCCTGCTCTCCTCCCAAGGCCAAGCCCAGGCGCGTGTGGAGCTGCGTCTGGGAGCTCATCGGGGTGTGGGAATAGCCTGGATCCTCCGCCCCAAAGCGGAGCGATTTGGGGGGTTTTGTTCGCTCCTCCAGCGGGATGGTTGCCGAGCGGGTTCCCGCGAAGGCGCGTGCTGGCACGGCGCGGGCAGAGCAAGCGGCTGCGGGAGGAGGAAGAGGCGGCTTAGCCCAGCGCAAGAGCCCTGCCAAGGAATGCGGAGCCCGAGCTTCCCTTAGAGGGAAATTCACTCTCCTCCCCGGCTCCTCAGCCTGGCAGGACGGATCGGCCCACGGACCTGCCCCCCGCTGCAGCACACAAGGACCGGCGCACACAGCGGGCTCTGCACATCCCGCAGCCTCGCGCCGGCCCACGGGAGCCAGAGATTTACAGGACAACACAGCTTTTAAGGACAAATGTATCTGCAATGTAAGGAAAGATATAAAAAAATCTCTAGTGTTTGCCTTTTACTGGGATTTTCTACAATACTCTTTCATATAACATGAATTCAGATTTTTTTCTGCATTCCTTATACTCCCACTGCAAAAACAGAGTTGTTGGAGGGAAACTGGACATTTTCCAGGGGTACTCGGCACAGCAAAGGGAAAACGCGAAAAGCCATGAGCAAACCAGTGAAACGCAGTTTCCTACGGATTTCTCCCTCTTGACTGATTGACTTCGTAGCTGAATGGTGTCAGGACTTGTAGTAACTTCAGCACACATTTATGCATGTTCCTCTGCTCTCCCTTTATAGTCCTTTTCCTGAAGAGTTTGGCTACTCCATAAGGGGCTGCTATCTCATAGCAGAACTCAAAAAGATCAGAAGGTACTTGTGGATGCAACCCCCCACTTTCTTGTGTCTCGAATGAACTATTTTATGAAACTTAATTACTTAATTAGCTATCTTAATTACTTCTGAGACCTCTATCCTTCTGCCAGATATGACTGAAACAAGGTAGCAAGCTAAAGAGTTACTGGGACAAGGACTTGCCCAAGTAAGACACGGGATGCCAAACACAGGCCTTGCTTCCACAGGCATTTAGGCCGAACAGTAATGCCGAGGTTAGCCTAGTGGCCGGAGAAGCAAAGGGGATGCACGGGAGGAGAAAGCCAAGGGCTGTGACTTAGGAGAGCTTGTTGTGTGCATGAGGCAATTGCCTTCACGCTAACGAGCACCCAGGGGTGGAATCCAAGAGCCTTTTGCTTTCCAGTGAGTCATTGCTTCCATCCCCGGAGGGCGAGGGGGGACTTGGAGGGGTTCCTTCAAGGCATGTGCTCAGCACAGGATATCATTCACAAAGCTTTTTCGTGCGGCTGCTGGGCTCTCTGAATCATAGGGCTATTTCAGGGCGCCTGGTGGGATGCAGGGCTTGTGGCACTAGGGCAGTGAAACTCGATGCTTCCTGAATGCAGCGAGATGCTGAGATGGAGAACCAGCTTTGTCTGCGTGCTACAGCAATCGCCTTTGCCTCATCATTATTGTTCTGAGCTGGATATTGGCCATTTCTGTGGCCTCCAAGGTCACCACAAGGGTCTATCACAAGTTCCTTCCCTGGCAGCTGCAGCCATGCGAAGTCCACCCTGTTTTACCTCCAACCTTATGGTTTTCATCTCTTAGGAATGGTTTCCACTTCTCATAAACGCTCACATTCTTCTCAAAGAGGTCTAGAAAATAATGATAAAAAATCTTTAACCATCATTCCTTCTGTACTGTGATGGCTGCCAGACCCTGGGCAGTGATTTGCATGAGCATCCCTGAGTGTCAGGCTGCCTCTGGAATACACCTTGTGAGGTGAATAGAATAAAAACCCTTACGATTCATTACTGAGTTTCCATGGCAGTAAAATCAGGTGAATCATGCACAATTTTGAGTTCATCCCCGGATTACCTACCCAGCCGTACACCTCTGGAGATGCTACCTCCTTTTCCACGTCTCGCTTTATGTGCCCTGGAACTACAGGGTGGAGGAGCTGCACAGGTGCCTGTGAGGACACTGCAAGGACAGGAGATCAGGGCCGGCCACATGGCATTTCCACGGATTGCGTGAGTGCCAGGAGCCTGTGGAGGCCAGAACAGGGGCTGCACTGCCCCCATGCATGGCCAACCCTGCTTACAAAGGTAAAAACCCAAGACCCAGATCCACACTGCTCCTGCCTGCCATGAGTGCCTCCTCACGTTGTGGGCACTTGCAAGGACATGGGCCTCCACCTGGGACACCAGGAGGAGGCACTTCTCCCACATAATATAATAACTCTATCACAAAAGTTTCCATAACTTGTTTCTCCTGTTTTCCATAAGCATGCCCAAAGCTGGCAGTGTCACGAATGCCATTTTGAAATACATTCAAACCTAGTGAAAAGAAGGGTCTAAAATAACTTAAATTTACTTAAGTGTGCAAAGTGGCAGAAGAGAAATATGTCCATGATGTGCTGTCAAGACATTCCCGGGGCACCTACATTGGCTTAAGCCAATCATGAAACTGCCTGGAGAGTTAGCTTTGCAGCTGAGTACTTGTGACATTTCCTATCCTGAATTTGTCTGTTAGTGCAATATCTATTTTCACCTGCACTGTTTTAGTACATTTTCTCATTGAGCAAAGAAAAGAATTTGTGCTGATGAACAGACTATAATGAATTTTTACCAATGACTACTTGATCAATAAACAGCACGTGTTGCACTTGAAAATTGAATTACATAACAGATGACTCTTTTAAAATATGACTAAGCACTACATGCACTCTTGCTTGGCCCTGGCATTGTCTGCATGGCACGGGAAACGGGAGCAAGCAGTGATCCACAGCTGGAAAAGGCCAGTTCATACAGACTTAGCCATTTTGAGCAAAGTGGCAGTGCCCATTCCTGAGTGTGTGGATGTGGGAAGGTGCTGAGGTAGCAATACAGGGCACGGCCGTAACAAGTTGGCTATGTCAAGGCTGATGAGCCAGATTGGATTCATACAGACGTGTGAAGCCCCCTCGAGAGGGCTGCTCTTCCTCCCTGTTGGAGGGCACGCCTCAAGGCCGCTCCTCAGGCTGTGCAGTGCGCCCCAGAGCATCGCTGTTCTCAGAAAGGGGGGGGCCCCCCCCGCCTCTGCCGCTCTCCAGGCCTCTACTCGCAGGCACAAGGGCAGGCAGCGGAGCAGGACACGCTGCTCTGGTTTGCAGAGGACCAGGAGCCCTGGCAGCGGCTCAGGGCAGGGAGATGACACCGCAGCGCTGGCCCGGGAGCGCCCACGGGCAGACCCAGCGCGACCACGGCCGCGAGCTCCGGCCGGGCGGCTGAACCGGGCTCG